GCCAGAACTTCCCTCATTAAATTGATAAGACGGAGTTAGTCAGTAGGTAGCAGGAGCAGCCATGGAGAAGCCAAATGCCCATTAATTCTTCATTAGATGTCAGCCTGGTACTCAGCATATCTGCAAAGTTCAAGTAAAAGAGAGAAATCTCATAATGCAGTAATAAAACACAAGAAGTCTATATTTTTCTTCACCATCTGAGAGCCTCATACGTTCTTCACCGTTTGAGAGCCTTAGGTAGTAATCTTATGTCTAATACTCGTCCAACCATAATGATGTAACAAACATTTCAAAGGTTCCTCGAAAACAACAAAATTCAAAGGTTAAAATAAGTAAATAAATAAAACTGGCATATCAACTACAAGATGAGGCTACTTCATGACATGTTTAACAGAAATATACTCAAACCGCAATTTACAAGCTAACATATTTCGGTTCCACCTAGCCCTCTTGTTTTTCCAAACACGATTTGCATGTTTCAACTTGTAAGCGTTCTCTTGTCAAAGAAAAATATTATGTCCAACATTATTCAAATCGAAATGGTTTCACATCCACCCTCAGAAAAACAAAGTAAATTGCAAAGGAAAAAGAGAGCTAATAGGAAAGCAGGAATGCAAATGGGGCATCAATGACTACAGTAATACGAATGCAAGGTAAAAGCAAACAGCAGCATAACATATTCCAGAAACAAAGTAGAGGTGAAAAAGCAGATTTGCCAAAGTGAAGAGGAGATTAAAAAATGAAAATATACAGTTCTTTGTATCACAAGGAAAGCCAGGGAATCAAATCAAAATCATTTTGCACTATGCACACGGTATAAACTGGGATACAGTAAAATCTTTAAAAGTAAGAAAGCAGATCCAGCAGGAACTGGCAACACTTTAGGCTTATTTATGATGCAGCAAACAGCAAAAATATGAACCATTCCAGCTTCTTCCCTAGACATCATGTTGCCAATACCAGAACCAGAAGATATGGCTCTAGGGGAGAGGTACAAGCGTAAATAAGGAGGAGTGAAGAAGTAGGCTTCGCTTACTCCAATAGGGCTTTCTATAACGATTCATTTCGGTTGAATCACAATTGCCTTCTTGTGCCCAAATCTACCAACTCTTCCACATATCATAAATCAGATTTCAATCGTATACTTTCAGTACAACTTTTATGTACTAAAATTCCTAAATCATTCTATGTTAACTTTCAAAACATCTTAATGAATGGAGACATTTCAAATGTTTAAAGGAAAAAAAACCACCACAGACTATTTGTGACCTATCATGGGTACCAGAGATTGGAATAATGCCACAGCTGCAGAGCTTCATGAGTTAAGACTGAAGAGGTGAGGGACTAGCTAATTCTATACAAGGTCTTTGATGCAAAGTTTATGCTTCAGAAAACTTACCATTTAATTGTATCCGCTTTACTTTTTTCATTGACACGTGAAGAACCAGAATCAGAGCTACTTTCTGTGTCCTCTTTAGTTTCATCATCAATAATCCCCTTGGCATGCAAAGAACCAGAATCAGAGCTATTTTCTTGGGTGCATTTACTTGTTTCCTCTTTACTTTTCTCATTGACATGTGAAGAACCAGAATCAGAGCTACTTTCTTTGTCCTCTTTAGTTTGATCATCAATAATACCGTTGGTATGCAAAGAACCAGAACCAGAACCAGAACTATTTTCTTGAGTGCCTGGAAGAATAAAGCTCCCAATAGACTTCCATAATCGCATCGATAGAGAAGACTGCATACCCAGGCTGCCATAAGAAAGCATTTCAATAGGCCTTGCTGAAGCTGGGTTCAACTCAGAAAATCTAAAAGCCCCTAAGATTCGTTCAGGAAGCTCTGACTCGGTCTGACTCTCAATGAGAAAAGCCAAATCAACGGTGAGAGTTGTTATGTAGCCAAAAGCCAGATGAACAATTGCATTTGCTACCATTGAAGATGCAATATCTATATCAACTTCTATAAAATTATCTCCTTGGCTATACTTGCAAGAAAGTGCCCTGCCAATTATGCATATAGCCTGCTCACCAACTGCTTTTTTAACTATCCAAGGTCCTTTAACAATATTTGCAATCATCTTTAACCTAGAAATCCTAAAATTATTATCCCCTTTCAAGAACTGGTCCACTAAAGATCCCTCTGGAAAAGAACTCATAGAGACAAAATACGCAATAGCACTAAAATTTTCCTTGCTTGGGACCTGCAGGTTGAAGGCCCAGACAAATGGTTCACCACCTGCTGGAAATTCCTCCTGTAGCACTTTCCTAACACGATGATTTGGATTGTTTAAAAGCTCCGAAAGTTTTGTAGGACCTTTAACCCAATCAAAACCTAGTGGCTTCAGAAGGTATTCACCAGCAGGCACTTTAACCCTCGTTGTAAAATAATCTGGTCCCCTTACCTTAAAAGAATCACCCAGTGGAGAAGCCCATCCATTAGAACAGTTATCTGGATCACAGAGTGGGACAGCACCTTCTGATCTAACTCTCTCTAGCCATGCAGGCTCATCATTTCCGTCAAGATTGGCCATGAGAAAAGAAAATAATCTGCTCAGAAAAATTAAGCACATGATAAGGGGATTGTAATTGTCTTTGATCTTCAACATTTGTATCAATTAAGAACAGAGTCAACATGCTGAACTTACAGGAATTAGTGACACCTAAAAAAGGTAAAAATTTACTGCAAAAATAATCCAAATTAAACACTGAAGGGGACGTTAGGCGGTAAGCCACATGCTTTGAAATGAGCCACTCTTTAGCAGGACATTTTTACTCTGTAACAAGTTTGTCTCATTTCACATGTAGCTAAAAATTTTCCAAGTATTGGGAGAGCATTTACATCATAATCTTTCAATGAACCACACATAATAAAAAATATAATAGAATAGTTTCTGATTGTTAATAGACAATAGTTTAGACCCTGAAAAATTCCTCCATCTCTTGAAAATACAACCATAAATCTCAATGCTAACACCATTTAGATTTTAAAAAAAAAAATCAACAGTTTTTTACCAAGTGGCAAAAATGCTCACTCATCATTCAGTACCTAAGAGAATTCAAAAGCCGTTTACTTTCTGTGCAAATATGGACGTCTTAGAATGTCAACTATTAATCTCCAAAAATTATACCAGATGCTAAGTTAGATAACTAGTAATTAATAATGATAGCTAGCAATCCCCAATGTGGTTGCAAAATCTAAAAGCCTCTACACCAATGTTTCTTCTTCTTTTTTTTCCCTTTTTCTTTCCTTAATTTTGGATAAAGATTCTTTTTTCTTCTATTATGAGCAAACCCACATTTTTAATAAGGTCAGCATGTACATTCCTTTTTTTCCTTCTATATAGCAACTCAGCGTCCCATAAGTACTCCATAAATTGATAATTAGAAGGATAGAAGCTCATCAATTTGCATGCAACATTAACTTCAACTCAGATATTTCACATACAAATGCCATACCCTACGGCTTTTACAAAAATATAAGTTCTGAAACTGAAATAAGGCACCATAAAATGCTAACCATTTCCTGATGAAAAAGGTTTATTTCTAGCTGCAAAACACTTGTGTAGAAGTATATGCAATAGACGCATATTTACAGGTTATTTGCAGATGTATCCTAAGCTTAATCACCAGATGGTTAATGTGCCTGTTTTTCAGATAAACAGACTTAAGAAACCTACGCCATCAATATGAGCCTAATCACCAGAAAATCAAAGGAGGCAAATTCTGAAGACAAAAGAGAAGCAATTTTTATGATTAGTCTATGAAAATCAAAGAGGTACATGCAATTTACATATATGTATGATCAATACTCAAAAGCAAAAGAATAAAAGATTATCAGTGAAACCCAGAAAAAACATCCGTTTGCTCACCTCATTATGATTCAATGAAATACAATTAACACGAAAAATAGGAAAGAAAGGACGGAGAAAAATTGATTCTTTGAGCTGAAAAATTCCATGTTAAACAAAACCCAAAGAATATTTTCAACGTCTCTTATCCGGGTTGCAAAATCGAGGCAAGAAACAGCATCACATTGAACTAACAACACAAAAAAAAATGCATAATTCCATAAAAGTCCTTGAACAGTAAAAGAAAACAAGAAAATCCAGCGAAAAATTAAGAGAGCAAAAAGAAAGTTCTGGGAAATTGCAGTACCTCGTTACGTCCGCAAATCTGGATTGGAAGTGTTTTGTATTAAAAGATTGGGGGGTTTTAAAGATGCGATTTTGTGGAAATATCTATGGAAAATGGAGTTTTCTTGTTAACGCGGTCTTTAATTTCTTTACCGGTATGTTGTTTCTTATATTACTGTCAGATGCCTCCTGATTCGTTGGATAATGATCGAAACAGGAAGGTAAGGCAAGGTGAAGATGGTGGGCTTCCTCTACTTTCAAGATTTTAATTTTTTTCGGGGGGTGAAATTTCTAATTACTGTAGCAGTCCTGATAGTTTTAATATGTTTATTTCCTTCCCCTTGCATTTCTTTCTATTCTTTTCCATTACAATCTTCCTCTAAACTGCCCCTCTTCCTCTTCTTTTGCTCTTTTCAACTCCCTCAGATTTCCAATGGTTGCAATTCATTTTCCAGTGGACAAACAGTAATCGACCACTACTGATGAAACCTAACACATTTAATCCGCCACTGGACGCCGAGTGGTTATCCCAAGCCTTCTTAGACTTGGTGATGCGAGAGGTCAAGGTTCGAATCTTGACTTCCACAAAATTTATCACAATATGTGACGGTTTACATTGATCAGTTTCGAAGGAGTTTCTACTCACATCGAGTCCTCTCCCCCTCCCCCTGAAATAAGCTAGCTCAGGTTATCGGAATTCTATCGTATCGACGAAAAAAAAATAAATAAAAACACATTTAACCCTCCATTCATTTAAATAAGTATTATATTGCTCTCAAGTCCCTTTCTATATATTTTGATAATCTCGAGTCCCTTTCCATTCACCAATACAATTAATCAATTATGGAACACCGGCCCACAACTCATGTGCAATCAAAATCCGCATCTCATAGATAATCTATACATTACTGCATTATAGACAAGTTTGCTGATCAAAAGAGACAACATTTCAACGAGGTATAATGCCTGCAAGGTGCGCCAACCTGACCCAAAACTTGGCTATACCCAATAAGTCAAGTCAATAGTCATCTACACTCTAAAGCATCTTCTGAGTAACAGAAAAAAAAAATAGTTGAATTGCACAAGTCGCCCCACTACTAATGCTTTTAATACAAGTTCGGTACAAACTGCAAGAAATGGCAAATGCAACTAGCGCTGGCCTTGTGTTCTTTCAGGGTGCGGGGAAGTACTTTTGGTTTTTGGCTTTTGTCTAAATAATTTACAGTAGGCTGTTCTTCCCACCAAGGTGAACACAAGTGTCATGATGAAAATTGCAGGAGAGTAAATCATGAGTGAACAACGTGGCAGGGGACTAGTAACTCTCCATGAAACTGGTGCTTCCATGCCAACCGATGCGAATCTTTTACCAGATTGCTTTTTCCTACAAAAATTAAGCGTGAGGCTGATCAGAAACAAGTGCAATCCTGTTATACATTCTGCTCAGGGGGGAAAAAAAAGAAAAAGAAAAAATTGTAATCCATATATATGCACTGCAGATGTGACTTCTTATTCAGAATTCAACTGATAATGCTTAATGACAACATGCGAGACACAAGTTCAAAAACATGGCAATAAATCAAGCTACTTGCACTCTACTAAGGATAAAACATTCAGAGTTTAATCTACCCGTTTGTCCAGATATGCTCATGTAAAAAAATAATGATATACTTTTGCCTAACATAAGTGCAATATAATTCATACCCCAAAAAGTCCTTAATTGACTTCCACAGATAGGCCATACTTTTGCCCCGATGATCTAAAGCAGGCTTTGTATGCTGGTCATGATCATCACCTCCAGGTATCTCTGATTAGTTAATGAAACAAAATTAATCACTGGAGTAGAGTAATTAAACTAAAGACAAACAGAGACAAGAGTTCTAAATCTGGTTCATTTACCAAAGAGAATCAAAGGGAGAGCAAATTTACCACTGGATGAAATGCTGTCCCTGGATGTTTGCCTCAGCAAAGCCAACTCTTCAACTAGTGAGCGTTCTGCATCACTAGTGTCATCATGGAAGCATGTTAAATACAGAATAACCTTGTAGTAGTCAAGACAAATATCCAATGGCGCATACCGAACAATCTAACAAAAACGCAAAGACCACAGTTTTTAGTAGCAAAACAACTTGGATTATTCATTAAATTATGCTTAACAAGATTCTTTAAAACAAATGACCAACAATTCCACTTGATCATATGAAGCAAGGCCAAAGAATAAGGAATCAAGGAGATCATAAACCAAAATTGAAGTCGCTTTTTCTCTTTGTATCAAGGAGAAAAATAAATCAAGAATCCTATATTACTGTGCCATTGAGAAGCGAATATCCTCAGAAGTTTTAAGCTTTTAAAGTAGCTCCTCTTACTTCCGTACTGATTGATGGATGTTAAAGGAAATTTTAATGTACTCAGAATCTATTATAACGATGAAAATTTTCATGTAATCAAAGCCATAGCCCTACAAAAGGGAAAAAAAAAACAATCCTGAACAAGTAGTTAACGCAAAACACAGGCCAATTGTAACATCTAGGACCGAGAAAACCAAGGGTGTATATGTTTAAAACTAGTAAAAATGCAATGAGAGACACACCTGATATCTTTCGGGATCTGAATATTTACAGCGAAGCAATGATCGCCTCGTACAGAGGGCTTATTTATATGCGGAACTCCCATGGATCGCATCTTTATTGTATCCCCAGGCTGAATTCCAGGAGGGATGTGAAGATCTCTGACACCCTCCACTGTTTTGACCTGCTCAACAAAGTATCATATAATTGTAACTATAATTGTAAATATAATTGTAAATATTCAAAGAATACTATGCATTTTCTAAAGGCGCAAAGAGTTCTCTCTCTGCTGAAGTGTATTCTGCAAAGAACTAGCTAACTGAAGGGCAAAAGAAAAGTTGCTATACACACCATCTAAGAAAGAAGATGACATTTCCACAGTCAAAGTTCACCAGTACCATATGGCAAACTTTGCCTAAAATTATAGCTATGGTTGTAACCAGAAACATTTTTGCATTGAATCGCATGAGACAGATTTCAGAAAGAAGTATTATGGATTCCATCCAGCTTTGGTGCCAAAATTACAGTGATTTACCTTGACAACGGTACCCAGAATGGCTTCAGTAAAATCAACTTTGACTTTTGAGTACAAATTGAGACCGTCCCTCTGAATCCCGTGCTTTTCTTCTATATGGAGAACAATGAAGAGGTCACCAGCTATGCCCCTAGATTAACCAAAATAAGCTTTTGTTTAAAAGACAACTACAAACTTCAAGTTCACTAGTGCAACAAGACAAAACAGGCAGGAAATAGAGTCGACTGTGAAACCAGCTAAATTTTTTAAAAACACAGTGGTGAAAAAAATTAATCATAATGGCTAAGGAAAGTCAGAACCTTAAATAAATCACACAAAGAAATTCACAATAGCTAGTTGAGGAGCTAAGAAGTGTAACTCTTTTGAGTCTCTAAATCCCCTTCCCCGACACAAAACCTAATGTCAAGTTCACTAGTGCCACAAAACAAAACAGGCAGGAAATAGAGTCGGCTGAGAAAGAAGTTAAAATTTTAAAAGAACAGTGGTGAAAAAATAAATCGTAATGGCTAGGGAAAGTCAAAACCTTATATGAAGAAATTCATAATGGCTAGTTAAGGAGTTAAGTTGTGTAATTCTTTTTGCATCCTGTTCCCTGACACCAAACTGGATAAAGAGAGAACGATATAAAGTCCTTTAGATAGTCTTTTAGAAACAGAAACAGCACAAAAACTCAAACATCCCCTATTTTCCTCAGGTAAACGAGAAAAATGAAAAGATATCACCACTGGCCTCCTACAAAACCTGAATCAATCTACAAAACAAAGCAAGGAAGAAAATTCTTGCTTGTACATTGATATAAAAAATCTCAATGTCTATGCCAAGCACAATTCAGATTTCCTAACTCCCCACAATAGGTACAGCTCCACAATATTATATCCTGTATAACTTTATTCCCAAAAAAAAAAAAAGCTTGCACCTTTTACAAGATCTTATAAGCAGGAAATATAACTAAATTTTAAGCAAATACCTTTTGTTGTCAATATTTCCCTCTCCTTGAACTTGCATTGTTGCTCCATTATCAATACCAGGTGGAATCACTATGTTAATTCTTCTTTTTGACTGTATCCGACCATTGCCACCACATGTTAGACAATGGTCTGTGATTATCTTACCAACACCCCCACATTTTGCACATGTAGACACCTAGAGATATCATATATTTCCACAGCATGTCAAAAACGGCTTGAAGATAACAGGAATTTTACAAATAGAAGCATGGTGTTTCTTAGCTGGAACTTAGTTTAGATGTATGACAACCATTAGACTGAAAGGATACGTTCTAAACAAACTGACCAGTTGAAATAATGATAGAGAAGACTTTTTATCCTCTAATGCATACATCACAATTACAACAATTACTTGAACAAAATACCTGAGACATTATTCCGAAAGGTGTTTGTTGAGTTTTAGCCACTCCACCTCTACCTCCACATGCATTGCATATTTTTATACTATTGCTGGTTTTTGCACCTGTACCACTGCAATCATTGCATGTCTCTAACGAAGGTACTTCGATTTCTCGCTGACTTCCAAAAATTGATTCCTCAAAACTCATATACAGATCGTATCTACAATATAAAAGTCACGCAATCAACATTTTAGTTCTCCTTCTTTAAGTAAAGACTAAATCAACATAGACATTGCCGAACAAGAAAGCATCATCTACAGCAAACAGTATTTACCTTCAACATCGCTTTGATAAGTTAGAAATAGACATTAAATCAGAACCATAAACCCCAAAACTAGATCATAAAGGCTGGTGGCAAAAGCAAACATAGAGAATTTACAGTGGCAGAAAGATACCTAATGTCAAGATCTTGACGGCTCTTGCTTCTAAAACTGAAATTGAAACCCCCTGGTTCACCACTTCCTCTGAAGAAACTGCTCGACTCACCAAAATATTCAGAAAAGATTTCGAAAGGATCCACCTAAAAAACCAAAAAATCAACTATTAATAAACCATATAAGACCAAACAACCCACTTTCAATGTCAAGAAAAGTAAATGTTCTAAAGCAATGTAACAACATAAAAACAGGAACTTACTCCTTGCGAACCACTAGTGGAACCAACAAAATCTCCACGTAAACCTGCCTCACCAAAGCGATCATATGCAGACCTTTTCTCATCATCTGATAACACCTACACATAGAAACTACATTTTAACACCCATAAAGAACCCTTAAATTGGACAGCAGAACGGAAGAATCCGGTGTAAGCATTTCAGCGCTAGTTAAACGTTCAAATCAAAATACTCGGACCTCAATGCAAATTCACTACAATCTTTTGAACTGAATATTCCAAAAACAGAAGCAGACGCACCTCATAAGCAGCACTAATCTCTTTGAACTTGTCTTCAGCACCTGGCTTTTTATTCACATCAGGATGATACTGTTTTATCCGATCAACAATTCAGGCAATACAATCGAACAATTTAAAATTGCAAACTTTTACTATTAATATAGAAATTAAAAATAAATAGAAACAGATTAAGCAAAAAAGATTGAACCTTGCGGGCGAGTTTGCGATAGGCAGCTTTGATGTCTTGCAAGGAAGCATTTTTACTGACGCTGAGAACCGAGTAGTAATCGGGAGTCTTGGCAGCAGCTCGGGCTATGACAGGGCTTAAACGACGGCGTCTGGGACTGAAGCTGTAGAATAGATTAATGGGAACGTTAGATGATGAAGAGGAGGAGGACAATTTGAGGGATTGGGTTTTGGGGGAAGTGAAATTTGGATAAAAGCTCGGGTTAGAAAAGGTGTTGTTGGTTGGATTGGGTTTTGGAGTTACTGCCAATTGCATTGCATTGATTTTTGGGAGAGAAGAGGAGGGATTGCGTTTTGGAGTTTTGGGGAAATTTTAGGTGGGTTTTAGGAGGGTTCTTGATAGACACTAAGTATGAGATATCAAGTTACACAGCGTTATGCAAAGCAAAATTATCTTGAAGGCGTGATTCTTAGGAAGTTGCATCCTACTCAATCAATGAGGAGATCGGGCGAGTGGACCACAAAACTCTAATTTTACGTGTAAGTACATTCCTAGAATTATTTTCAACCATTTAAACAGCTAAATGTGATTGAGACAATTCTTGGGATCCATTCTTCCCAATTCGTGCCTCAGAGCTAAATCGTGAAAATGAAACTGTATTTGCATGTATGACCTTCATTCAACTCTAATCCCTTCCATAGGATCTTTCTTTCTTGATCCTGCTGAGCCCACCTTCGGAGTCAGCTTTCTTTCTTGATCCTACTGAGCCCACCTTCGGAGTCAGAACACACAGTGATCACCGTGCGATGCTTAAAGATGAGAGTAGCCATCCTAGACGTTTTACTCAATCTACTTCTCTAGAAGCGATCCATGGGTTTTTGCAGACCAGCATGCAATAGCTGGTGGAGTGGGCAATTGTAAACTTTTAAGTTACGCATGGCTAGAGCAAATCCAAGGACAGAAAGGATCAACACGTTCAGTTTTTAAGAGAACAATAATTCATTTACAAGCGGTCAAGCATTTACCAAGACTACTTAGCTGAACCAAAATGAGAGACTACATTCCATGCCCTTACGCAGGGCTTTACAAGATCTAGTTGTCCATGTAACTCTAGTGATCCCAACATGTGGCTGGTAGAAGAAGTTCTTGGCTAGGAGAAGCTTCTCATCCACCTCGTTTGTCTGCTTTCCGAAGTCTGTCCATCAAGTAATGTGCCACTGATTCATATCCCATCTCCCTTGCTATGTTTTAATCCAGCAGAAAAGGCAAAAAATTACTTCCGCATCACTATATGCAGTAACAAGTTTGGGTGCCAAAAGCACTGATCAAGAATAAAGTCTTGTGTTCAAACCTTTGAAAATAGCTATCCCAGTTGGTGCCATGTTGCGCTTCTTCAAGCAAAAGGAGCTGTAACATAAGAACACATCAGGAGAATTTCAGGTCCACAATGGCTTAGCAACATACATGCTGCAATGGCAAATACAATGTAATCACGTGCCAGAAGTCTCCTGCTGTACCTGTTACATATCCAATATGGTTTAGTTCCTTTTTCTTCAACGCAGTGAGGGCACATCCACTCTTGATTTGCTCTGACATCCTCAATTTCTTGCAAAGACCATGATACTAGAGCTTCAGTTCTAATAATACAACACCCTCCAAGTCATATTTGATTAATGCCACGCAAGATACAGAAGTAAACTATGACTATGCATGTATCAGCATCCAAATGCTTCGTCAAAGGTGTCAATTAAGGTGGTCATAAGAAGCCTGAATCAATTTAGTTATCTCCAAATTACAAAGCTGAGATTTCCAGCTCTACTTTGTGTATTAGCATACCTTCACCATATCTGACCTTGAGACAAGCTCGACAGAGAACACCATTGCTCGAGTGACAAACCGAGCAATCTGTCTTCCCTGCACCAGAATGAATGATTTTCACTTGGCAAATTTTACAAAAGTAACTTAATTATACAAAAACACTTAGTATTTCATCAAGCAACTAACCTATGCATGGCTGGTCCATGTCTAGATCACCACATCTTCTGCAATCTTCTTCACCACACAATTTCTTTTGCCTGCATTTGTTATTTGACAGTGGCAAATAGCTTATCGCTCTATATGTGATGGAAATAATACCAATACTGGAATATAACCAGAATGAAGTGTGGTAATGTTTAGAACCAAATAATTAAGCATAAATCCACATTCTTAGCCAAGGTTAGCAACTGAAAGCACCAATAGCTCTATAGAGAGAAATATGAGAGGGAGAGAGAGCTTAAGCTTAGAGGAGTATCGGGCTGAGTTTCACTATCTTCTGCTTAAACGGGGCAACTCATCGGATAGTTGCTAAGTTCATGTGAGACTACATAGATCATGCCACTCAGGTGCTCGTTTGTGGCAAAAATATACGAGGAATAGATACTTAATAGATACTTGAATCAGTTCAAGACAGCATATCTAGACAATCATCATCTTCATTTGATCAGCACTTTCTTTTCCTTCTATATTCTTCACTTTTTAGTAGTACACTAAATATTTATACAAAGGAACCAACTAGCTAACCTGCAGAAATGGCAGCAAATACCGTAAGTTGGATCATACAAACTTCCCCTCCCTTTACTCGAGCAACGCCGCGCCAAAGCATCCGGGGAAAGCCGCCCAATTTCACCCCTTTTCACCCTCATTAATGGTGCATTTGCAGGCCTCTTCTTCTCACCATCATCTTCAACATCACTAAGCTGGGAAAGCCCACTTTCCCCTGAAAATTGAAAACCAACCCACGAGATTGTAAAATTACACATCCAATCCAATTATCCAAGAGTCAAAACAAACAGTCCTAATATTCCTTGATATAAACCTTTAACTGATAATTCCGAGATGCATGATTTCCCTTTGAGACGATTCGAACGGCGCAAAGGGGTGGAGGAATAATCAACTTTATGCCATTTTCTTTTCCCAGATTTTGCTGAGGAGGTAAGGGATCGAAGTTCTGATACAGCTTTTTGAACTCCCAAAGAAGCTAACCGAGCCTTTTAAAACCAAAGAATTGAAATGAAGTAACTTAAAATCAGTTCAGTAACTGACGACTCGAAAAATGGTTAAAAAGATGGAGAAATAAAGAACCTGGTTTTCCAAAATGCGAGCTTTTCTGAGGCTTTCATAATCAGTTTTGGCTCGGAGCCTTCCCATCCTTGAGAAGGAGGGGATTAGGTTCAATGGTGAAACGCTGGTGTCTTCTTAATTTGGGGGCTTTAAGGTTTAAGGGCAGAAGCGGCAAATGCGTGCTAATTTGGTTTGGGGGTAGGGAGGTAGCCGTTGGTGACACATATCAAAATTTTGAACTGTGTTCTCGGGAGCGAGCCACATATGGTCTTGCATGCCCTGAGACGAATACAGCCGTTTATTCTTACATGCCCCCATCATAGGCATGATTTAAAGTCGCGGTTACGGTTGCGGTCCGAACCGTTTCATATTAATCTCGGCATATTGGTCACGGACTCAGTTAGTCGCAAATTTTGAAGCATTTAATATTTTAAAAATTGTGAATAATATTCAAAAATATGCTAAATAAAAATAATAAAAAATTAGCAAAAGAAAATCTGTAAAATATAAATTTGTGATTTGATTCGGGTAGACTCAACCTAGACTATCCTTATTGGAAACTTCTCGACCGAGTTCTCGGTGATTCAGCCGATTTCTCGGCGATTCATGTATCTCTAAGTCATCGTGTCCTGGTATCAAAATGGAGAGGTCCGTTCCGGTAATAACTCGACCGAGTCATCTCTTTTTCAGCCAAGACTTTTGAACCATGATCATAGGTTGCTCAGGAGCGAGCACTTACGGGTATTTTTGTCGACACAACCCTTGTATTGACAACAAATTCAAACACACGTTGAGAGGCCAACTTGTATCTGCAACAACTTTATGTTCCTGTACTATAATTTTGGAAACTTTTACGTTTCTATATTGTGATTTTGGCATTTCAAGATTGGCAGATTATAGAAGGCATTAATCTAACCAAATAAAGGCATTAATGGAGACTGGGATGGAACACAAGCTTTGTGTAACCTGCAAATGTCTGAGTCACTATTGATATTACTCACACAAGGGACTTTGTTTATTTATTTTGGTAAATAAACAAGAGATTTCATGTACTTGGTGAGATAAGACACAAGGTGACTGACTACCTTCCATTGCATGGACCAAAGTCAAGATCTTTGCTTTATTTACATTCAGATGTCTAAGCTGAAAACAAAACCAAAAACTATTGATAGAAAAGGATCAAAGAAAAAATAGAAACTCCTGATAAACCTTCAATGCGAGTTGGGCTTAGTTTCTAGCACTTATAGGAGGACATAAGCGTGATGATATCACTTACGATCACGAGGGCTAATAGACTTCAGGAAAGGCATTTTGGTTTTATCTTCCAGTCTTGAATGATGAACTCTCAGTATGCATCACATACTTCGGAAAGTATATATATGAAGCGAAGGCAATATGAACTTGTCAACTTCAATAAAGGAAACAGAAGAAGCTTGACAAGCTCCACTAGGAAATGGTGAGTGGAAGATGGTGGAGCTGATTAACCATTAAGAAATGGCAACTCAGTCATTTAAGCAGATTGGACAAGGTTGATGTTTTTTCTTGTTTGCAGGTTTCAGCTACAATACCAGGTTGTATCTAAAGGTGGTGTTGCTAACACGGTGTTGAATCTGTAGTCCACCGATGAAAGAAACACATCAAGTTCTCATTCAGTCTTGGTGTGCTTTGCAGTCACATCCGATAACAAGTACAGAGATTTACAGAGATGTATTGTAATCAGCAAACTTAGTACGTAGGAGACAACCTTAAAAGAATGAATGAATTTGAATGAATAAAAGAATGGATTTGAACCTTTGTACATCTCTAAATCCTCCTCCTCCTCCTCCTACTTCTCTATGAACTAGCTAGATATTTCTAAGCAACTCAGCTTTGTGGTTGCTCAGAATTTCGAAGTCCTACACAAGTGGAACAAGTGCCCTTTGACTGCCTTTGTACGCATTAGTGCCTTTTAACATGTAGTACATACATTGGCAATGGTCATCTCTAACCTTGATCCCAAAGAGCTTGAGCTGCTGAAAGATCGGAGCTGAGATATGCTTAAAGAGGTTGTTTAGGCCACGAATCCGAATTGTTTCCATTGACTAACACAGATTCTTCAATTTCTGCCACCCTGCCAATTTTGGATTCTAGAGTTCTCAACCAATCCTAATAAATTGGCATCAGGCATCCAGGCTCCTAGATTTTAACTAGACTAACAAGGTAACGCCACGATCAACATCCTCATCTCCAATTTGCGCTATCCTACCAATTCTTGATTCTTCAGTAGAACAAGGTGGCAGTGGTAGGTTAAAGATCATGCGTATACAGCATTCATCTTCCGTTCCTTGAAGAAATGTAAGTTGACCAAAGGAACAATTAATGTCCTCGTTTTGTCCACTCAGAGCTGGTCTGCCAAATTTTGGCTCTTCATTTCTCAATAGATCTGATAAACTAGGAGTCCGCTCTTCCCTTGCATTCTCCTGTTTGGAAAGAAAGCAATCCAATGCCTCCTTCATCCACTCATGAGCACATAGTATTCTTGCTTCATTAGCAGACAGCTGTACCACAAAATAAATCACAAGATCAGAAACCTGATTCAGCCTGCCAAATTCAACCCTATCATTCAATCATCATAATAAACATAGAAATACAACTCTTCTCTGAACTTACCCATATGCGTTGACGAACATCTTTCTCAGGCCAGCAGTCTAATTCCTCTGTGACCCGAAAAGCCAACATATGACCTTCGTGGGATGCGTCTTGGCTCTTGCTCTTGAATGTCCAAACTCCCAAATTATCCTGCAATAACATGTAATGCATAGAAATTAGAGACTTGCTTATGAATCAATGCATATTCGGATATTCATGATCCCAATTCAAGAGATATATACTTGCAAACACTCACCTCAACATGCCCAAGTACCCCAGCTTCTTCCATGGTCTCTCGCATAGCAGCCTGTTCAATGGTTTCATCAAGCTCCCAACCACCCTGATAATTCAATAGCATAAAAAACAAAAATGTCAACTAGCGAATAGTCATAAGTTTCAATAATTGCATTTCTCATATTCAACAACCAAAAAACAATAAACATGTGGAACTACACATATGCACATCACTTAAAAAAATTTACCTTAGGAAACATCATTCTTGGACTCTTCTGTGAGCTGATCAATAGGAATTCTAATTCACTGCTTAACTTCCCATGAACAGGGGCAGCCCTGTGAGTTTTCCTGAATCTATATGGAATGCATCTGCAAGTTATCAGATCAAAGTAAGATTATAGAAACAATACAAAAACATCACAATCAAGACTTTGAAAAAAAAGAATTACTAAAACAGTATCAGGTCTCCCTTCTCCCCTTTCCCATCAATTTCCTCTCCAGCCATAAAAAATTGAAAACAACTTGATCGTAGAAAATTCAAAAAGGGGAAAGGTTTCGAAGAAGATTCCAAAACTTTCCCAATTCCTTGGATAAACCACTCCAAGAAATGAAATCCCACAAATATTTCACTCAAAATTTCAAATCCCACATGAAAATTTTCTTCATTTCCATTTTCCCAGCAAGATTTAGCTTCAAATTACACCAAAAGAAAAGGAAAAGGATGAATACACACCCAACAACTTGACGACAGCCCTCAAAATTATATCTTTGCAGGTCTCTTCCAGTGCGAGAAGGCATTGAAACCAACTTCTTGATTTGCATGATGATTGAATACTCAAAAAATCTCGTTTTTTCTCCCAAGGAACTACTTACAAGGAAAAGGGATCTTCCTACTTTCCCACGAAAGAAGAAAGGGACAAAGAAACAAGGCACCTGATATATTTAGGAGCTGAATTTCCGTTAAACCGTTAAAACAACTAATATTCTCTGGCAAACAAACTCAACTGAATTGCCGGCTTTGAATTTTGATTTGTGAATGTTGCTGCAATTTCTTGCAAAGGGTAGATCACTAGATTGTGGATAAGAAATGGTTGGGCTGTCCAGTCCTTTAATAGAGAAAAGGGGCAAAGAAAATTACACCTAATGTAAAGTATGGTCAATGATTAGTTGTATTTTCTGGGAAGAAGGCGTGAGGTGATTTTATAGTACGACGCGGTTGCGTCGCTTTCGATTTCGACAGCCCCATTATGGACGTCCCGTGTCGTGTCGTGTCGCTTATGTGGATCCAAAATTCTTACATATGACATCTATCTTTACATAGACTTTAGCCCATAAAATATTACCATGCCGTACGAAGTTAGGAAGTTTGGATGGCTCGATTAGGCCATCAAATTGGTGCCCTAGTTGTACAATATATATATATATATATATGTGTGTATATATATATATATATTTTTTTTGAGTGAATTTACATAGAAGCAAATGAAGTAGCACATCATCTAAAACAAAATCTAATTACTTTCGGTATGGAAGGAATGAGATTTAAGAAATGAATAGAAAAGAAAAGAGGATTTAAACTCAAAAATTTCTAATTTGTGAGGTCTCAAATTGTGCAAGTTATTTACTATAAAAGAAAAATGAAGAAGAGGAAGAGAGAGAGAGAGAATATTATGCATGCGAGTGTTCTTTTTCTCTTTAGTAAGAAAAATTTTAGGACGAGAAGAAATTCACTTCGTTCTAATATCTAGGCATTATAATAGTTACCAATAGCACTTTATTTGGAAGGAGGGATTCAAACCTAATTACTTCCAACACAAGGGCCAAGTTCTTAAAAATTAAGCAACAATACATTACATTAGTGAACACCATGCAAGATGTAACGACGGGACTATGAATTTTCTCGATCTGTACAATCTGTAATTGGCAAGAACATGTCACTTATAGTATGTGAATCAAATATACGCATGTACAAGAGTCTTGCACTTTAGGTGTTGTAAATATTTTTCTTACTTTCTCAATAATACTATATATATATATATATATATATATATATATATATATATATATATGCATGAGTTCAAACTTGTTTAGCTATTCAAATTTGCTCAGTGAAATTTTAAACTTGAGTTTTAACTGCACCAACTTGTGAAAAGCTCAAAAGCGCTTAATTCATTTATTTAGGTAAACAAAAAAAAAAGGAAGGAGGGATGACAAAACAGAAAATAGTAGTCATATAGTAGGAGGTCGATGACATTTTCGTGGATTATATTGGGGAACACATGATTATGAAAAATGAGTCATTTTACTTAAATATTGCGTGGAATAAATTGAAGGGCGAACATAACGTATACGTGAGTGTGG